TCAAGTTTCCTGTTAGTATTATAAACTCCAATACTTGCGTCTATATTAGCTGATATCAAGTTTCCTGTTAGTATTATAAACTCCAATACTTGCGTCTATATTAGCTGATATCAAGTTTCCTGTTAGTATTATAAACTCCAATACTTGCGTCTATATTAGCTGATATCAGTTTTGTTAAAATGCTTAAATTTCATTGCCAATTTGCTTGAATTCTTCGATTTGTGTAATACTATACACATATGGCATTTGTGGTACCATTGACAGCACATGGGGAACATGCACATGTAAAAAAATTGACCTAGACAACTGGGATATTCATTTTTGCTTAAAGGGGCACCTCCAGTTAAGTCTAATCTCACAACAAATTTACTTTTTGGATTAAAATTACAATGGATAACAAAAGATAGATTAACATTGTAAACAACATAAACAATAGCGTCCCATGATTCTTTGGTGCACCAAAGGGCTTGGAAGGTTCCCCTTTAAATGAAAACTTTCTAGTGTTTACTCATTTGTTATCACACTGTTCCTTTTGGCTCAGTATATTGCCTCGATGACAAAAAAAAAAGAATAATCATGCTTCAAAAAAAGTGCTATTGACTTTTAGGCTAGATCCTCGACTATTACGGTATATATAACATTCAATATATTTTTTTTTAGACTGTATCTATTCTGGATCAGAGGTTGACAATGACGGAGAACAAACTGAGAGAATGCCTTGACAATCAACAGAAAATAACGTTGCAAGTTCGGCCTAATGAGTAAGACTAAGTCATAGATTGCACATAAGAAAAAAAGAGAGAGAGAAAACTGCCATGATCTCTTCTCAAACAAATGCCATTAAGATGTTCTTTTTGTACATATATTTATAGCTAGGTGACTAAAACTGTTGAGCACCTCAATTTCTTTTGATACTTTCAAGTGTGGAGCAAGGACAACTTTCAACAATGTTAACTGGTAGTGATCAAAATAGTTGATGGATTCCCATGGAAACAGGCAAATTAAATTACATTTGTGTACGGGTCAATAAGTTGGAAATGATGGTGCAAGCTCCTAGTACTATTTCATTGTGATTTATTTTGTACTCAAAAAGTCAAATTTATTATTGTTTTAGTACATACAGTATTTTCAATGATTATATCTTTTTTTAACTTTAAATCACAGATTGTAAAACTATTGCCTAGCTTTTGTTCACAAATTCTGTTATTTCGAAATTCAACATAAAAAATTTTAGAAAAATAAACAAAATTGGTAGGAAGTATTATGTAGAGTGTAATATATTGAAATGTTCACAACTACCAGCGCTGCTGGTGCTTCTGAAAGTAATCTTTTGACTAAATCCAGTCATTTGTCTGAATTTACCATATTAAATCTCAACATGATTGCTATGTTAGTTTGTGATAAATCATTATTACAACTGTTTATATCGACTATGGATTAAATTTTATGGTAATGTGGTTTTATTCATTTGTTTATTCTCATTATATTACTCTCCCTGATGTTTATATCATATGGTATTATATTTATTGTGATAATAAAAATCAGTCTGTTTACCGGTGATCCCATTTTAATGTTATGACTATAGTTGTAACAATTGTAACTAAAAGTAGTCATTGTCTTCACTTCATTTTGTGTTCTTCTGGAACCAAACAAAATCAAATTTGGTAGCTGTTTTTGAAAAATATAGTGTCGTTTGTGTGGTTGTTGATTGCTGTGAAGTGTAGTCAACTCGCTCACAGTGCAGGCTTCTTCAAAAGTTATGAATATTGTTGTTGACGAACATCTACAGATGATTTTTGTTGCACTTGACAGTGATGTATCAGTGACAATGAAATACAAGGAAAATACTGATAAATCAGTTAAAAAACATTACGGCTTTTAGCGAATTGCATCTAAAATAAAATAATTAATATTTTTGATATTAATAATTGTATTTTTTTGTTCATCACCAAATGATTGCTCGTAGTTAAATGTAGTAAGCTGAGTCAACAAAATATGTCAACAAATTAGATGTTGATGAGTAAACAAGGTAATTATTGTGTTCACATTTTTAGTTTTGTTTCCTTTTTAATCAGTGTAACTTATGCAATCGAATAATGTGAACACATTACACTAGTGTATTAAGAGGCTTATTATATATGGTGAGTTGAAAAGCCTCCTTGGAGAAGGGAGGGCAGCATCGGCAACCATTAGTAAGTGCTTTGATGTTCGAAACTGAATTTTAATGCTACAGTCACAGTATTTGCGTTTTACATATTTTGAATTAGATACTTGCAATATGTGTCAATTTTTAGACAGCTTAGTTTGTAAAATTGATCTGTATACGTTGTTGAACTCTAAATATGCTGCTTGATTCCAACAAGTTTATATGTATGTATGTATGTATGTATATTATTATGACCCGTTGCATGACCCATTATTGCTTGTTTGTAATGCAGTAATGCATTGTCAACCGAAATATTGTCGATCTGAGAGTTGACACCATTGTGGCATTATTCAGTTACTGCCATATTTATGCCTCTTGTAAAACACTAGTGTGAACACAAGATTATGAGATCCTTATCTGTAATTAGGGGTCGACCATTTTAAATCATGGGGGTGGTGGTGGTGGAAGATTTGTTGCAGAAACAAATTGAAGCTAGATACTAAAAGAAAAGAAAATTACGTGTTACGTGATGTACAAAAAAAATGTTGGCACATTCAAGAAAAACAAAAATGTATGGACAGACAGAACACTGCAGAAAAAAATAATTAAACCCTTGATTTAAAATGGTTGACCCCTTACTGTAGTAACTTATGCCAGAATAATTTTTCCTATTGAAAATGTGGTAATTGTTGCCACTTTCTAATAGTCATTTTGTTTTCCAATTGGGAATGGCAAACACTGCTATGTAAAGAAGTATTGGACACAAATATTGTACATAATATTCATTCCGAGTCATTTAGGAAATTTACAATCTCTATTAGTTTTTATAGTTTAGTAATTGCGTCAGATGCTTTGTCAGATTTCTGTAATTTCAGTGATGTTCAATGATTTACAATTAAATTCTCATTTAATAAATAAAATGTATTTTAACAACTAATTATGTTCATAAAAATAAATATGAGATATTCTCCAATATTTATGTTATTGTTTACCCAAATGAGGTCCATATATTCTCTGCACTGAATTAGTATCACGCTTATCAACTGTTTATTTTATATCTTGTCCTTGGTGGCTCCTAATCGTGGCGACCTAGACAATTGTTGCAGGTCATTTTGTTTATTTTAATTTAAAATTGTCAGTAAAATGGAGCTTATGTGTCAATTTTTTTATAAAAAAAATTTTTTGCTGAAATATTGACTGAAAACCTTAAAAAATATATATATAATGGCTCATCCGTGCTTTGTGACAACTATGATAGATTGAATTTCTGTGACTTCATAACACGAGTACTGTAAATGTATTATTTATTCATAGGGTTTTAATTTCGCTATTTACACTGATGAAAAACATCCGCTAAATTAAATTTACATGGACACGTTAACAAACAATATAACTTGTTGTTTCTCTGCTAAATTTATGAATTTAAAACTTAGTGAAATGGTTGTACAGGTTACAGGACTAAAATTTACCAAAATTGACACGCTGCCTTCTTAACACATCATCCACTAATGCAGTATTTCATTCAGGCTTTCAGCCGACTGTGTTAATATTTGTCACAGTCTTGTAAAATTAAAAGTGGCGTACACTCAAATACTTGTCACTTAAGTTTGGTTGTTGGAGACGAATATATATCCTATATTTCAACAGAGTGCCACAGCATTACCTGTTGATGATTGGAATCTGCACAATTACGCGTTACATGGTAACAAGGCTGCTGAGATCAGCTGATGTATTTAATGCTATATAAAGGTTACCACTGTGTATCATGCCATGTGTTACCAACATTAGTCTGAATTACTACGTTGTGTGTAAAATATACTCAGTTCTAAAGCTTACAGTAAAAACCACCAGGATTTCATTAAAATTGCTCTGGATGTTTTAAGATCAGAACAATTGCTTACCTAATTTGTTTCAAAATATTGTGTATTATCTGCAGAATGTTTGGCACCAGTCCAGACGTATTCATATTGTTTGAATATATTAATATGTCTGCAGGTAATCCACTATATTTTTGAAACAGTGCGTAATCCATTGTTCTTATCTTACACCCAGAGCAATCTCAGTAGTTTTCACTGTATCATTTCAAAGAAAGATCTGTCGTCTGTATTTTTTTTTTTTATTTGGCAGCCATCCAGATTTTGCTGCTAGACATCTGGCTTCAAATAATTTACGGGACTTAAACCTAAGACCATGACTGAACACGGTTTTAGCTTGGTTACTAAAACTTTTTTAGTGGCCGTGGTTTTAGTAACCGTGGACTGAATGAGTATGTTGCGCAGTCGTATACCAAAAATACAACAGAAAAACGTGGCAGTGGTTTGTCTGTTTATTATACTGAATACCATAGGTCTGTGAGTTATCACGGAATAGTGTTTATTGCTTCCGCCACTAAACGCAATCACCTCGATTATCTGTATTTACCGTGTTGTACCAACCACAATAGGTCACTGTTTGTGTCTACAGTATGAATGAACCCTTGCCCTGTTTTGAGTTCAGCTAAGTTGAATGAAATTGGGGCAGGGGACGAGACTATCGAGACAGGACCTTAGTTATAGGCGGCGTCCATATATCTTGTAACTCAGAATTCGTGAAGACGCGATTCCAGTTGCTATACTAACTTGAAAGCCGTTAACGCCACTGTGTAACCGGGGTGTAACCTTGTTATTCTCAGTGTTTCAGTAACGTGGTCAATTCTATGGAAAACGCCATGTCATCCCATTTTGACAACTTTTTCTTACCAAATGAATCGAAAGATAATTTTTTTTTTAAATCCGACAAATGTCTTTTAGATCGAGTACAACATTTGCACTAAAATAAATTAATTAATAAGTGTTGTTAACGATTTGGCACAATAACTAGAATGTGATGCAGGGACAGGAGAATAATCTCACACGACCAGAGATTCCAGGCTAATTTCACGTCACTGGGAGAATTCCTGAACGATACTCATCATTTATTTCCTCATTCCTGACTATACAAGGATAGTCCGACATAGCCACAGTGTAGCCAGGTATTCAAGGCTGATCCATTCACTGATATGATAGTGACGTGGCAATTTAGAAGTTTGAGGAACGCAAGCTCAGTGCTACCAACATGCATACTTTCAACACCCATACACATTATCGGCAATACCTGTTGAATTACATGATTTCGTTGTACATCTGTATCCAAATTTCACTTTCAGTATTTATTCACGTGATTACATTGCGCAGAAACAATTTCCAAGAAACCTACGCCAAATTATTTCTGACGCCTATTTCTAAAGATAGCGCATATTAAAGTGTATTGATATGAGTCACTGTTTATTGATAGAATAATATTGCTACTATGACAACCATCATACGAAAACGTGATTAACAAGAGAAAAACGAAAGGACCGTACGTGCTTCGCTGGTTTTTGTTCCAGAAGTCTCTGGGGGTATTTGTATCAGATACTCGTACATCAATTGTGTATGAACACCTTTTCCCAGAATAGATGTTGTTGACGCAAAAAGTCACATTTCCTGATGCTGTTATATTTAGGGCAACAACGACAGCAATCAACGGCACTATAAACTACCTAGAATTCTCCGCGTTTTCTGGTGTATTTTTTTTTTCAAAAGTACGTTTCTCCTCTTTTTATTGGAACTTATTAAATTCTTAAGGTGTCTGTTGTATTTTTTTTTTCAAAAGTACGTTTCTCCTCTTTTTATTGGAACTTATTAAATTCTTAAGGCGTCTGTTGTATTTTTTTTCAAAAGTACGTTTTGCAATGAGTGATCAAAATGTCAAACCTGTCCCTAAAGTCTGGTAAAAGACAATTTATAGAGCTGTTAAGAATTCTATGAATCTTTGGAGATTATAGTCATCGACATAAGTTCTCGCCCTCATT